TGAACTATATTATGGTTCTAAGTCCAGTGCTTATCTTACAGTACCATACCAGGAGTCCTAAGAGGGTAAAACATTTCAGTATTATACATCAACTTTGTCTTAGATTGGGTTCTCTAGAGAATCCAAACGAGTGAATGAATTAGCTAGCTAGCTAGATGATAGATAGGTTTATATCACGGAAATGACTGACACAGTTGTAAAGGTGGGCAAGTTCCAAGTCTGTGGGCCACATGTCAGGCTGGAGGCTTCTCCTGACTCCCAAAGCTGCATGGGCTGATGAGCCCAAGATCTACAGGTCAGACACCAAGCTTCTGACTGCAGAGGCAAATGGGTGCTAGGGCAGCAGGTAAGATGACAAGCTACTGACTCCCAAGATAGGCAGGCAATACAGGCAGCCACGGGTTCAAGTCCGAAGAACTGAATGAAGGTCAGATGCTGAGCCTGATGCAGGATCCAGACTCAGCAAAAAGCAAGTCAGTTTTTCCACAGTGTCTGCGTATATCGGGAGCAGGCCATACCCTAAGGAAACTTCCAGTCAGTTGATTGGCTGTTAGTAGGAAGAAGATCTCCTCATGGGGGATTGCTGTTAAGTGCCGTTGAGTCGGTTCTGACCCATAGCGATCCTGTATAGGGTTTCTGAGGAGCTGTTGGTGAGCTCGAACCGCCAACCTTACAGTTCAAACGGCTTTGCAGTCTGACGCATTAACACACAGTACCATATCAGGACTCCCATGGGGGATTGTTGTTGTTGTTAAGTGCTGTTGAGTTGGTCCTGACCCATAGCGACCCTGTAGAGGGTTTCCGAGGAGCTGCTGGTGAGCTTGAACCGCTGACCTTGCAGTTCAAATGGCTTTGCAGTCTGGCGCATTAACCCACAGCGCTACATCTTAATTCCCAGGTCGCTGAGAATGCTGGTCCAGGCAAGTTGACACAAACCCTAACTATCACAATCTGCCTGTTGGAAATTGTTCGTGCCTCGGCCTGAAGCATAGGAACTTGTGGTTTACTCCTTGTAACAGCTGAAATCAATAAAGTCATATGTATTTCATAATAAATTTATTGAGATAAAATTCTCATACCATACAGTTTACTCATTTGAAATATACAATTCAGTGGATTTTATTGTGCTCGCAGAGTTACATGATCACCACCACAATCTATCTTAGAGCATTTTCATCACCACAAAAGGAAACTCTGAACCCATTAGCTGTTATTCCCTCTTTCTCCCCAAACTCCCCTGGCCTTGTTGTTGTTGTTATGTGCCATCGAGTCGGTTCCGACCCATAGCGACCCTGTATAGGTTTTCCGAGGGTGTAAATCTTTACGGGAGTAGAAAGCCTCATCTTTCTCCCGTGGTGCAGCTGGTAGTTTTGAACTGCTGACCTTAAGGTTCGCAGCCCGATTCGTAACCACTACGCTACCAGAGCTCCTGGCCTAGGCAGCCATTAATCTACTTTCTGTCACTATTTCTTGTTGTTGTTCAGTGCCAGAGAGGCAGTTATGACCCACAGCAACCCTGTATAGAGTTTTCAAGGAGCAGCTGGTGAGCTTGAAATGCCGACCTTGGGGTTCAAGCTGACTTTGCAGCCCATAGTGCCACACCATGACTATACAGTTTCCCACTGGATATATATCTATTTCTAACAGTCTATAAACTGTGGTCTTGAGTTTTGAGTATGGTTAAGCACTAGTATGATTTGTGCTTACCTCTAAGAGGGACTGCCCAGGGCTCTATCACTTAATTTTTCTCCTCAGTTTCCTGTCAAGTGTAATGATGCTAATATACAGATTTTAGACCTGTTTACTGCTTATTAAACATTCTGAAAATTTCAAATACTCAGCACACAGTGGAGCAGTAGACTCGACTAGCCAGTGACAGAGAGGTCAGTAGCAGTCTTCTGCAGTGGCTTCTAAATCCATCTTTATTTAATGTGCAGTCCCTGACATCAAAGAAATTCATTACTGTGCAAAGCTGATGTTCTCTTGATTGAATTAATAAGTGTACAATTTAAATCTATATGATTCTAAACCCTTTCAAAAAATAATAGTTTAAGTCTCTTCCCCCACTTAGCCTTTTGTCAGAATTCCAGTTCTGAACAAGAAACAAGTTTCCCCTCGGTGTTTCCTCTCCCCTCCTTCCTGTTAACCTCTGGTTGTATGCTACTCCGTGGTGGGTTAGCCAGAATTCTGGCAATAAAGGTGAAAAGAGAAGAAAATATGGCATTATGGGGTGTGTGTTTCTATGTAAACATTTGCACTCGATTTTTCTCACAGGGAATAAGATATAAGCTTTTGGTCTCTGAACCCAAGCAGACGTGGGTTTGAATCCGGTCTCTTCCTAACTGTATGATCTTGAATAACTCACTCTCTCTGACCTCAAGTTTCCTCATCTGAAAAATGGAGATAATACTTTGAAAACATTATTCAGAGTGGAATAAGTCACTCAAGGTCAAATATGGTATGATCCCACTTACATGAAAGATCTAGACTAGGAAAGCTCCTTACTGATTACCAGAGATGAGTGGAAGGGAGGAGGGAGGGGGAATCATTGTTAAGGGTGATGGAAAAATTTGAGAACAGATAATGGTGGTAATTGGACAAAATGGTCAACATAATTAATGTCACAGAATCGTACATGTGAATTGTACATATTAAATGGCAAATGTTTGTTGCATATATATTTACCTCAGTTTTTTAGAAATGGAGATAGCAGTAATGCCTCGCTCATGAAATTGTGCTGGGAGTGGAGTGAGTTAGAGCAGTCAAAGGAGGTAGCATAATCCCTGGTACAGAATAAGATCTCAGTTAGTTACTCTTATTCATAATATTGCCACCAACAAGTTTCGGAGAGATACGTTGGCTTATTGCAGAGACCAGACAAATCAAGAAAGAGGTATAAGAGGAGTTAACACAGTTGGATAAATAGTTTGTGGTTTTGTATAAAACATTTTTACATGCATCGATTCCTTTAAAGCTGAGAGGAGTTGCCTGGTCCCACCCCAGACTGTTTATAATCATATCGTACCCAGAGGAGATCTGAAAGTTACTGAGAGAATGTGATTTGTATTGCTAGACCCCAAGCAGTAGGTTGGGTGACTTTCCATTTTGGTAGAAGAGGGGCTTCCAGTGGAGGATCAGGTCATTGGGGCCAACATTGATTATTCCTTGCTGTCTACAGGTGAAGAGTTCTGCAGGAGGCAGAACTGTGTGGTGGTTTGAAGGGCATTCTTAAGCAACAGACTGGCTGGCACTTATGCCTGACGTACCATTTCTCACTTATCTCACCTGTAAAATGGACCGATAATAGCAGCCACCACACTGAGCTGTGAGGAGGATTAAGGAGCTAGTACATACAGAGTTAAGGAGCTCTGGTAGCGTAGTGGTTACGAATAGGGCTGCGAACCTTAAGGTCAGCAGTTCGAAACTACCAGCCGTTCCGCGGGAGAAAGATGAGGCTTTCTGCTCCCGTAAAGATTTACAGCCTCGGAAACCCTGTACAGGGTTGCTATGGGTCGGAACCGACTCGAAGGCACTTAACAACAACATACAGAGATAGACCACGTCTTGCAGAGGTCAGTTACTGTTGAGCCAATTCTGACTCATGGCAACCCCGTGTGGTGCAGAGTGAAACTACAGTCCAGAGGGCTTTCATAACTGTGGCCTTTCAGAAGTAGATCAACAGGCCTTCTTCCAAGGCACCTCTGGGTAGGGTTGAACTACCAACATTTCAGTTGGTAGCTAAGCACTTAACTATGTTCCTGATAGTAAGCACTTCAGTGACTCTATCTATGCACAACAGAATGAAACACTGTATCAGCTCAAAAGAGGAAGATCCCCAACAAGATGAATGAACACAGCCAGCAACAAAAGGCCCAAACATAACAATAATTGTGCAGCTGGCTCAGAACCAGACAGTGTTTCATTCTGTTGTGCATAGAGTCACTATGAGTGGGAACCAACTCGATGGAACCCAACAAAGGGATTCTAACTATTGGACCCATTGGACACTGCACAGAAGGCCTGGTAGCGCTGTGGACTAAGCATTGGCCTGCTAACCACAGTCGCTCTGTTTGCTTCTGCAAAGATTGAGTTTAGAAAACGCTAAGGGGGCGTTCTGATCTGTCCTAAGGGGTCAGTGTGAATCAGAATTAACTTGATGATGGTTAGTGTGGATTTTGATTCATCTAGATCGTTTAAGCTTCAAGACAGTCACTGCACTCTCAAACACCCAAAGCCCAGATTAAAACACAGAGCTGTTTTGTTCCAAAGGCCTCCTCCCACTCATGGAATGTACTCTGGAAATCCAAATCTATTGTTTTAGAGAGGGAAATGATACTGTGGTCAGCTCTGCAACAGGATTCCAATATTAGCTTTGTAACTTTAAAATAACCAAATGGAGAACTATGACCTGGGAGAACTATAGCCCCCGTGAGCTATGGCCCCCCATGAATACAACCTCCCAATACCCAAGCAAAAGAAGAATTACAGAAGCGTATTCAAAACTTCATGTCTCAAGATACAGACTGATCCCAGCGAAGCATTTGGGATGGGAAGGGGGAAGGGCGTGTGCCACTATTATTTTGAAATGGTCAATTATATAATTGTTCATACAAACTAAAAAGAAACAATCTATGATGGTTAAGGAGGAAAAATTATTCATGCGCTAGAGGGCAGACAATATGCAGAAAGAAGGAGGTTAGCAGAGGAAAGATGGTTATCAGGAGACCCAGGGAGGAATGTAATAGTTAAAAGAATAAAGGTGAATGCTGTTAACTATTGGTACATGGAGGGGACTGGAAACATGAAGCAAGCTATATGATTTGTTCAATGTAAAACTAAAGATCTGCTCTGTAAACCTTCACTCAATTCACATTAAAAAGTTTTAAAGAATAAATAACCAAATGGAGTGAAAATCCATAGAAGGACATGAAATAATATTTTCTACCCAACGTTCTGGGCCCTCAACTAAAACCTGGAAAGTTCCAGCTGAAGCAAAGAACATGAAGTGCAAGGGAATGAGGCATTTCCCCTGGAATCAGGTAGAAAGTGCTGACGGACAAGAAAAGGTAAGCTTCTTGAAAAAGAGACAAAGAGGAAGACCCCCTGTGAGATGGATTGGCAAAGTGACAGCCTCATGGGCTCCAGCATGGCAATAACTGTGAGGTTGGCCCAGGATCGGGCAGTGTTTCATTCTGTTGTGCATAAGGTCTCTATGAGTCGGTACTGACTAGATGGCACCTAACAACAAGAACATAACTTCTTTGGGAGGCCAGAATTGGAGAGATTTTGGCCTTGGGATGATGAGGGAAATTTCATTTCAAGCAAAAAGGAAATGGTATGAACAAAGACACAGAGGCAGGAAAGTAAGGATGTTGGTGGAAAATAGAGTATTAATAATGTTGGAGTTATCAACAACATAGCTCTTCATAACATATAGCCCAGGTATCTGTAAGATAACCATTTGGAGCAAGCTTCCAAATGACATGGCACATCTGGAAATAGCTTCCTTTTGAACGTACATAAAGGCATGGTGTTGGATATGTTTGCATAGATGTGATGGTTTTAACTGATTTCCATTTTAAGATGCCTGTTTTGTTTTGTGTCTGCAGAAGGAAACTCCCCTTGCAAACGCTGCCTTCTGGGCAGCCAGGAAAGGAAACCTGGCGCTCCTGAAGCTGTTGTTGAACAGTGGCCGGGTGGATGTGGACTGCAGAGACAGTGTACGCACTGGATCCGGTACATGCATGCCAAGAACACACCATTCTCCCCTGTTGGCATGAGAACCCCTTGTGAATACGTTTCCTTTCACAGTGCTTAGTTACTTTTGTGCGTGTTTGCTTGCTTTATTCTTTTTTAAATCCTAGGTGCTGTGTTGTTGTTGTTAAGTTAAGTGCCGTGGAGTTGGTTCTGACTCACAGCGACCCTGTACAGGGTTTCCGAGGCTGTAAATCTTTACGGGAGTAGAAAGCCTCATCTTTCTCCTGCGGAACAGCTGGTAGTTTCGAACCACTGACCTTAAGGTTTGCAGCCCTATTCGTAACCACTACGCTACCAGGGCTCCTTATAGTGACCTTTAAAACACATGGGGGGAGTCAGAAAGCCAAGCAAACAGTTACATGCATTAAACCAAAGGTGGCCACAGTAGGGAGAGACGCTTCAGTGGGAAGCAGAATTGGCAGATTCCAAGAAGAAAAAGCAGTTTAGTCAAAGAATTCAGGACAGCTAACTGATTTTATGAAAAGATGGAGATCATTTATAGCAGAGGGGACCTTCCAGGGATGTAGAAGGTAGGTTTTTAGTTTAGTTTTGTTTATCTACTAAGACAAGAAAACAGAAAATGAAAGCCCCACCCAGCCTCTGTCATCTTTTCAGTACCTTTTACAACGTTAAGTACTCTAATTGGCAATTAAAGGGCAAATAAAAATAGATACTGCCATCCACTGGCACGCCCCACTCAATAATGAGAGCTCTCTCCCTTATAGCTAGAAGCAACAATCTCTGTCTACTCAGCAAGACTTCGCATCTCTGGGGACAAAGAGGGCCTCAGATGAGGACAGAGCTGAGGTGTTTTGATTTGAGGATTTAAATACAAATGTTTTCAAAGGATCCCAATTGTTTTCCTGAAAACAGGGTGTGCCATTTCCAGCTTTTATTGTATACATTTAGTTAAGTGAATGCAGCCAGCAGCCCCAGGAGTGAAATATTAGAGTTTGCTCCAGATGTCCCACAGGGGCCTGGTACAGGATATCTTGGGTTGGCACCTCCAGACCCGTTCTCAACACTTCTCCAGTTTGTTCCAAGAGTCTGAACTGTATGCATTGCAGCAGCAGAGCTGCCTGGCGTCTGGTTTCCAGTTGAGATTGGCCAATGGATTGGGAGGAGAATGAGATTGGGGAGCTCAGTGCCCTCCCTGTGCCTGTCTGCTGTCTTCCCCCTACAACGTTGTCACTCTCCAGGCCCTGACCACTGCAGCTGCCCCTCCGCTTCAGGCCTAGGGTTGGAAGGCTAGTAATAGAGTTCATTGCTACCTGCTCTGGGTCCCATATCTTTATAGTCTCCACGTCAGACTTTCTTCAGGTTATCACAATTTTACCACCTGAGTCTTCCTCCTAACTTTTCAGGGTCACCCTGCTGTCCCACATCCATATGCCCCCAGACAGCACCCAGTGTTATCAGCTTTCTTGGCACCTTGTCCATCTGAAGCATCTCTCTTCCTCTTTCCCTCAGAGCTCATACTCTGTCTAGCCTGCTGGGTGACTAGTAGCCATTTTGATTCAATTTTTGCTTTGTTGGAATACACAGGTATGTCTATAGGTCACCACTTACTGTTTTTTGTTGTTTTTTTCAAAAACATCATTTTATCTGGAAATTTCTGGAGAGAGAATTCTTTCAGCCCAAGGAGCAACTCTCTATGATGGTCATTTCCAACATCTCATTTCTTTTTTAGAGGGCCTCTCAGATGGTGTCTGAGGGGCAGAGAGATGTTTGGGATGGTGCAGCCCTTTGTTTCCCACAGTTCTGTGGTATTCCTAGTCACCTCCTCTGTACGCTATATTCACCTTCTCTGTGTGTCACCTGGATAAGGATCTCAGGCTCCAAGTTGCTCTCTTGTGGTGGTGGTTGGTTTCCTAGGTTAGTACTGCCCTCACTAATGGGGCCAAGGCTCCATGACTCCCTAGAAAGCCTGGGAGAGCTATTAGAATGCAAAGATTGGTCTGGTGGGCTTTATTGGGAACTGTTCTGAACCTCAAATAATCTTACTTTTCCAACAAATGGCAACAAATACTTTTGGCCTGTGTTTGCCACAATTTTAATTTGCTAACATTCATGTTCAATTTCTAGATTCATGTTGCCTTTTCAGGATGTTTACTTTTTTTTTTTGCTTAGTTGATCTCCAAGGCTGTCCAATGTTGGTATGTGCTGTTGACACACCTTTACCACAAAGGTATACAATGACATGACTTTTTAGTCTCTAGATATATTAATGTGTGCACTTCACTGCCTTACTTGCTATGGTTTTCACTACATTTATGATGAGGCTTTCTGCTCCCATAAAGATTTACAGCCTTGGGAACCCTGTACAGGTTTGCTATGAGTCGGAACCGACTCCACGGCACATAACAACAACAACAACATACCCATTACCCTGTGGTCAAAACAAGTTAGTTTTGAAAAGATAAACACATAGTCAAACATCAAGTATTAGAATTAAGTAGGATAGTAAAATGAAAACTGATTTAAAAATTTTAACTTCAGGCAAAGACATAAAGTAAAATTCTTTACTATCTGAAGAATTAAAGTTGAACTGATGGGTTTTGAAAATAAAAGAAACATTGTTGTTTAACTAAATACTTCAACAGATAACCATTATTTTCTTTCTCCTTTACCCCAACTTCTGGCTTTTTATCAATTAATGTGTTTTACCAAATGATGTAGACCTGAAATGAAATCTATAAAGTTCTTTTGTTGTTTGTTTTATTCATCTCGCTTGACTTTAAAACAAAAGAGTCTACTATATTTCAATTCTCTCTTTTAAAATATCCAAATTGAGTGCTTTGTGTTTCCTATGGTTTATGATTAATTTTATTTTAAGACCAGTGTGACCCAGGATAAAAAAATTTCTCACCTCTTACATAAAGGATACATTCATAGCTTATCTATTCAGATTGGCTTGAAATCAAGGGCTCTCATATGCTATGTAAATAAAATTCTTCACATACAAGAGGAAGTTAGTAATAACCAACATTGTCACTCCAATACTGAAAAATGCAGAGGAAAAAGTTCGACAGAGTAAAGGATTGGATCATCTATATAAATGTTCCACATTCAAATATAGTCAGGTGGTATACAAACACGATCGTAGAGCACTGCTCTGAAGTCATTAGCTTTTCTTGATTCTGCTTGTGGTCGTCTTATCTATAGTAAACAAGACTTTCTCAAAACCAGCTTTGCCATTCACAGACGTCAACAAGACCCATGTGATAACATTTGCTGAACTACCATAATATAATATTAATATCTAACATTTGCTAAACGGTGCTGCAGGAGAATGCACTGGACCACCAGCTGCTCCTCAGAAACCCTAGACAGGGTTGCTATCAGTTGGAAGTGACTTGATGACGCTGAACAGCAACACATGATCTAACATCAATATTTCTAGACATGTTGCCTGAATTACCTCATCTACTCAATCAATCAGGCAGATGAATTTTACAGATGAAGATGTTGGTGACCGCAAGCACTGAGATGCTGAGGCCCTGTGTCATGGACGAAAATCCAACACGAAGGCCCTCCTCAGGATTGTGAGCCATGGACCTTGAGGGCTAAAGGAAGTGACCTCCTGACATCCTGGGTTCATTGGTTTTTGTGAACTCACTGGTGGGCTACCTCTGTATAATTTTCTTTGGTCTTATTATTCATTCTATGCTTCTAACTCCAGTAATTGTAGCTTCTGAGAAAATGGTTTCTTATGTGCCTCTCTTAATGTCTCCACTGTGTTGGCAGTGCGTAGGGTCCTGGGAACAAATCTCTCTGAGGAACAAGCTCTGGTCACCTGACAAGCATGTCAAAACTGTTCTTTATCAAGTTATTCATTTATGTTTGATATTAACTTTATACATGAGCTCTTGATATCCATGTACAATAATAAAACCAAAACCCCCTCTAAAGCCGAGGCAGTAAAACTTCCTGATACAAACAAAGGCAGGTTTGCTGGGATTACGCAGGGAGGCTCTAGAGAGAAACTGCCCAGGGTATTCACTCAAAGTAGATTGGTAAATTCTGGGAGTATTGTTTAAAGAATAATAGTGGCAGCCCCCTCAAACTGTCCCCAGGTATAAACAGATTAACCTAGATGTTCTCCTTCCTCCTGAAAGTTTAAGCCAGGTATCTGAAACAGCTTGACTCCCTTCAGACCTTTTAAATCCTTTTCACCTTTACCCATTAGAGATTAAGTGCTAAAGGTATGTTAAGTAGCCTTGAGAAACCTCACGTTGCTGCCTTGGGTCATTTAAGCCTAAAAAGTAATTTATAACAGTTTGCTTGAATTTTGGGAAAATTAAGAATGTTAGATTATTAAGACAATTTGCGATATATATTTTAGAATTTGTTTCTGTAAATCATTGTGTCCTGTTTTGAACCATTAATCACATTTCATTTATGTACCCTGTCTTATCTGAATAATCACCTTCTTCCTTTTTGCAAAATCCCTCCCTGAAAAACTAAAAGACGAATGCAGATTGAATGTTGCATGCAATACTGCCTGCAGTGCAGGGTCTGCCTGCCAGTTTTGCATCCACTCTGGTCTCGGAGTGTCTCTTTTTTTCTCTCGTTGCATCTTTGTGTATATTCTTTCTCTATTTCTTTCACCACCAGATCTCCCTACTTTGTGAACCAAACTTCCCTGTTGAGGCAGGTCCCCAACATGAAGAGAACGAGAATATGAAAGCTTATGTAACCTGCCCAAGGTCACACTGAGTGACCACTCAACTCTCCTAACTTCCTATAAAATCTCACAGATGTAAATAATCATAAACTATGATTCGCTTGTCTCTCTAGACCTGGCCACCCTGCCTCATATGCAAAACTAGATCTCTTGTCACCCACTCCTGAAAAAATGTGAAGAAGTGGTGTTTAAGATCACAATTTAGAAGTCCTTGAAAATGACTAAATTACAAAAGTCAGCTTTAATTGGAAGGATCCAGATTACCTGATGTGCCTCAACTCCTTGAATCTTAAAGCTGAAAGAGATCTTGGCATCACCTTCTCTAGGCTCTCATTTCAAAGATGCAGTAAATGAGTCCCTGTAATTTTAAGCAACTTGTTACACGGTTGATGCCAGAGGTCGACTCAGGCCCCAAGGCTCCTACCTTTTTATGCTTTAATCTTGTTTCATTGTGGTGCCTTTCATCTCTACCTGAACTGTTTTGAAGATAAAGACTTCTAAACAGAAAACAGACACCTTCTTTTGCATTAATAATAGTGTTCTGGCTCAGAAATTGTTTAATCTAAATCATAAAATGAAGTCATTACGTCACTGCTGCCTTACAATGTAGTAACTGGTTGACTTGGACTTCATTTCTGAAGATTATGAAAGTGAGTGAATATTTAAATGGAAAGTTCCAACCTCTGCAATTTGTTGCCTTGCATTTTTCCATCGAGTCTGCTTTTAAGGTCATTCACTAGGTGGTTTTATTACTATGGGAAATTTGGAGCTGAGACTTGTCCTAAGTGGGCTGATGTAGTCTTTTCCAGGAACTTACTCTAGGATATAAGGGCAGCCTGGCATAATTCTTCATGTTTCTCCTTCATCTAGTATGGCACCACGCTCCTCATGGTCGCCTCCTACGCGGGTCACCTGGACTGTGTGAAGGAACTGGTTCTACAGGGAGCAGACATCAATCTCCAGAGAGAGGTGGGTCAGCATTTGAGCTTGAATAAGAATGTCAGGGTGATGGACATAGAAATCTCCCTAATAGTGAATTAGTAAGGAAACACCAGTTGCCAACAAGTCAACTGTGACTCATGGCAACCTCATGTGTGTCTGAGTAGAACTGTGCTCTTTAGGGCTTTTGATGACTGATTTTAGGGGAATTGGATTGCCAGATCTTTCTTCTGTGATGGGTGGACTTGAACCTCCAAACATTTGGTTAGCAGCTGAGTACATTAATCATTGGCATCACCCTGGGACTCCAGGTTGGTAGTGAGAGCAACAGTAATCATTGCTTTATTGTGATGGAACATTAAAACTTAGATTCAGGGGCTCACTGTGTCTGAAAACAAGACTCTGAAGCAATCCATTAGTTGGGCATCAGTTGAGTTGTGTCTTGTCAGGTGTGTGTCTTAGCCTGAGGTAACCAAACCTTTAATTACAATCCTTAAACATTCATACATTTTGTGCAAAGCTAAAAGCAGTTCGTACTTCTCTTGGGATAAGATGCTATGGAATCAATAGGACTTTAGTATCAAGATCACAATAAGGAGTCACCACTGATTCTTTTTTTTTTTTTTAAGTTTTATTGTAAATTGAGTGAAGGTTTACAGAGATCATCGGTTTTGCATTCAACAAAGCATACACTTTTTTTCATCTCAATGATTGCAATCTCCTCCCTGCAACAACAGTTATCCCACTTCCTCCCTGTGGTTTTTTATTCCATTACATCCTCCTTCCCACCCCTTCAAAACTTTGGCCTTAGGTAAATGTTGTTCTTTTGATCTTGAATGATTGCCCATCCTTGGTGAGCATACCTTACTAATGTTGTTGTTATCCTATAGCCTTACCTACTATTTGGCTGAAAATTGGGCTATGAGGCTTTTTGTTGTTGTATTTTGTTCCACATTTTCTCCCACACTGTTTGGAACCTTCTAATGTGATCTTTTTCAGAGCAGTTGGTAATGGTAGCCAGGTTCCATCTAGTCCTTCTGAACTCAGAGCCACACGGTGACTAATGTTCACCTGCTCCATTGGTCCATTGGATAAGTTGATTCCAGGCATCTTAGTAACAACTTAGATGACTGCTCATGAACTTCTAAGATTCCAGTAGCTGCTCACCAAAGTAGGATGTAGAGCATAGTCTTTGTGGACTAGCTTATGCCATTTGATCATGGTGTCCCTTGAGAGACTATGGGCCTGAGCCCCTAGGCCCAGCAACTCATTGCCTTAACGTGTTTCATCATTTTGCCCCGTATTTGCTCCACCTCATTCATAGATGTGTTTGCAGCAAAGGTAAATAAATACCCTCTGTCCAACCCTTAGATATTTGTGGGTATATTCCTACTCTCTCACCCCCACCCATTCTGCCTGTGTATCTGTCCATGTATCTACCCACAGATCACTGTTGTTCCAGGGTTGTATATATAACACTATGTACCTCTATCCTCTTTAGCCCATGCATATATCCCTGTATCTTCACCTACTTTCATCATTCTTCTGACAACCTCCCTCTTCTTGTATATTGTCCTCCCTGTCACCCGAGTTAACATGTATCTATTGTATAGCCTGTGAATCTCTATCCCTCCCACCCCTGGAAATCATCAAAGAGTATTTCTTTTAGCATAAAAATCTTTTATATTTTACAACACTAGTTTCATATAATATTTGTCCTATTGTGATTGAATCATTTCCTTCAGCATAATATCCCCCAGATTCATCCATATTTTGAGGTGTTTCGCTGATTCATCATTCTTCTTCAATGATGTATAGTATTTCATTGTGCTGTGTACCAGTGTTTGTTTCTCCATTCTTCCATTGATGGGTATTTAGACGGTCTCCATCTTTTTGCCGTTGTGAACAGTGCTATGATAAATTATGTCATGATTCTTATTTCTTGGAGATATGTACCAAGTAGAAGGATGACTGGGTCATACAGTATTTCTATTTCCATCATTTTGAAGAAGCACCATACTGCTCTCCACAGCGGTTGTACCATTTTCCATCAATGTAGGAGAGTCCAAGTCTCTCCACACCTTTGGTTAGCATTTGTTATTTTCTGTTTTTTTTGAACTTGGCTATTAATGCTGGGGTGAGATGGTATCTCATTGTTGTTTTGATTTGCATCTCTCTAAAGGACGCCTGGTGCAACACTATAAGATAAGCACTGGACTGCTAAACACAGGTCAGCAGTTCAAACCCATCAACTGCTCCGCAGAAACTGTGTGCAGGGTCACTATGAGTCAGACTGACTCACAGCACTTAACAACAACAAAAGGAATGACTAATGATCATGAATATTTCTTCATTTGTTTGTTGGCTGCTTGAATATCTTCTTTGATGAAGTGTCTGCCCATTCATGTTCTCTGCCCATTTTTAAATTGGGTTGTTTGTCTTTTTCTTGTTGAGATGTTGTAGTTTTTGTAAATTTTAGATATTACTTGAGTCAGCTGCACCTTAGTCATTGCAAAAACATTTTTCTTGGTCTGTGGGCTCTCTTTTTATTCTTTTGGTGAAATCTTTTGATGCACAAAAGTGTAGACACTTTCAGGAGGTCCCAGTCAAGTGTTTTGTCTTCTACTATTTGTGTGTTTTTAGTGATGTTTGACAGTATATTTGTGCAATATATTAATGCTCCTAAGTTTGTCCCTATTTCTTCATTGATGATCTTTACAGTTTTACATTTAGGTCTTTAATGTTAAGTTGTGTTTGTTTTGGTGTACGGTGTGAAATATGGGTCATATTTCATTATTCTGCTAATGGAATTCCAGTTTCTCCAGCACCATTTGTTGAAGAGAATCTCTCTTCCCCATGTAATGTGTTTTGGCCCTTTGTCAGAGATCATCTAATGCATGTGGATGGATTTACTTCTGGGTTCTCACTTCTGCTCCCTTGATCTATGTATTTTTTGTTGTACTAGTACCCGGCAGTTTTGAAAATTGAGTCTGTGTAGTTGAATTTGATATCAGGAAGTGAGAGATTTCCAACGTTTTTCTTCTTCTTAAGTAAGGCTTTGCTTATCCAAGGTCTCTTTCCTTTCCTTTTATAGTGGTTGTTGCTGTTGTTAGGTGCCGTCAGGTCAGTTCCGAGCCATAGCAACACTATGAACAACAGAACAAAACCCTGCCCAGTGCTGTGCCAACCTCACAATCGTTATGCTTGAACCATTGCTGCTGCTGCTGTGCCAATACAGCTCATTGGGGGTCTCCCTCTTTTTTGCTGACCCCCCACTTTACTAAACATGATGTCCTTTTCCAGGGACTGGTCACTTCTGATAATATGGCCTAAGTATGGAAACAAAGTCTGGTCATCTTGGCTTCTAAGGAGCACTCTGGTTATACTTCTTCCAACAAAGATCTGTTTGTTCTTCTGGCAGTCCATGGTGCTTTTAATATTTTTCTCCAACATCATAACTCAAATGCATCCATTCTTCTACGGTCTTTCTTATTTTGTTGTCCAACTTTCACATGCATATGAGGCTATTGAAAATACATTGACTTGAGTCAGCTGCACTTTAGTCCTCAGACTGACATCTTTGCTCTTGAACACTTTAAAGAGATCTTGTGCAGCAGATTTGCCGGTTGTGATACATTGTTTGACTTCTTGACTGATCCAAGCAAAATGAAGTCTTTTAACAACTTGAATCCTTTCTCCATTTATCACAGTGTTATTCATACTTCAGTGGTGAAGATTTCTGTTTTCTTGACATCCATATAAAATTAGTGATCAGCTTTTCCATCTCTTTAAAGAGTGCCATTTGAATCTGGATTGGGATTGCATTAAATCTACAACACCACACCAGGATTATGCCCTTAAGTATGTTGAGGTATTTTCCTTTTATTCCTATTTTGTTGAGTTTTTTGTTTTAATCAGGAATGGATGTTGGATTTTGTCAAATGCCTTTTCTGCATTAATCAATATGATCATGTGGTTCTTTTCCTTTGTTTTATTTATGTGGTGGATTACATTGACTGTTTTTCTACTATTGAGCCATGCTTTCATCCCTGGTATGAATTCCACTTGGTCATGATGTATTATTTTTTGATACATTGTTGAATTCTATTGGCTAAAATTTCATTGAGAATTTTTGCATGTCTGCTCATATTGATCTATAATTTTCTTTTTTAGTGAGGTGTTTGCCTGGTTTTTGGTATGAGGATTATGTTCATTTCATAAAATGTATTTAGGAGTCTTCCATCCTTTCCTATGTTTTAGAAGAGTTTGAGTAGAATTGGTACCAGCTCTTCTCTGAATGTTTGGAAGAATTTGCCATTAAAGCCATCTGGGCCTGGACTTTTTTTGTTGGAGTTTTTCTTTTAATGACCTGATCAATTTCTTCTTTTGTTATAGATCTGTTCAAGCTTTCTATTTCATTTTTGCTAGTTTATATAGGTTGTTTTTGTTTGTTTGTTTGTTTTAGCTTGTCCATTTTTCAAATTTGTCCAAATTTTCAAATTTGTTAAGAGTCCAGTTCTTCATAGTATTCTGTTATTATCCCTTTTATTTCCATTGGTTCTGTTTGATATCACCCATGTTTTTTATGATGCATGTTATTTGCATATTTTCCTTCTTTTCTTTTGTTTGATTTGCCAGTGGCTTGTCAATTTTATTAATTCTCTCAAAGACCCTACTTCTTGTCTTGTTGATTCTATGTTTTTCAGTTTTCTGTTTCATTTATTTCTGCTCTAATCTTTATTGTTTCTTTTCTTCTGGTGTCTGTAGGCTTACTTTTCTGCTCTTTTTCTAATTGTTGGAGATGTTGTGTTAATCTGTTGATTTTAGTTATTTCTTCTTTTGGGATGTATGCATTTATTGCTATAAATTGTTCTCTAAGCACTGATTTGGTATGTCCCAAAGATTTTGGACTAGAGGATACATGGTTGGTCCTATCTAGAGGAGCAATGAAGAGATGGGCATTTTCGCATCGCCTTTAGGATCCGATGTGAGGCAGGGCTCTGTATGTTTCTGACCTCGGATCTGATCAA